CAGGGCAGACAGGTGGGCGTCTGGCCTGCTGCCGTCTCCCCTGAAGGCCATGCAGACCCCTCACGAGTAGTTCTCCCTCCAGCACAGGCCCTGCTGCTCAGTCTCAGTGTTTGCAAAACGGGAGAGCTCTGCTCATCAAGAGAAGTCGCTTCCCAGGCACCAGCCCCTGAAGGAGGTGCCGGGACCAGGACCACCGGTTGCCCAGACGCAGTCCCTGGCAGTGTCCTGCACGTGTCCACCTCCAGCTAATAATATGCATTTTATGTACGGGTGGACACTTCTTACACGGAGGAGATTTCCTGGGCTTCCGCCTCCTCAGGAGGCCAGATAAGAAGGGGTGGGGCAGGGGCTCTGGCACAAGCCTGGCCACCGGCCTGGGACCTGCCGCTTGGCCCTAGGCATCTCTGGAAAGACCTGGCTGGAGGTGGGACCCTCTGGGACCATTGGAATATCTTGGGGTGTGGGCCCCCAGAATGACCTGCGCCCAGCTCCTCTGTGATTGGAGCAGCCTTTCCCATGGGCCTCTGGGATGGAGACACCCCAGGAACCATCCTCCATGGCCCCTCTCTGCACCTCATCTCGAGACCCCCGCTCTGTCCTGGGGATCCCTGTGGAATTGGGCCAGTGGCCAGCTACCTGTCCGGCCGTGTCCTATCCCCCCACCCCGTAGCAGCACGTACCTCAGCTTTTCTGGAATGTGTGTGCGTCAGTGATATTTGTATATTTGGGGCATTGGAAAAGTCTATTTTCCTTATGCGGGCAAAGGAAGAAGAATGAATATTGATCACGGAAAAAATAAAGAAAGGAAAAGCCAAAAAAACCCCAAAACATTCCCAAAGTTTGTGGTGTTTGTGGTGTATGTCAATTGACCTGTGGTTTCTAAAGTCAGTTGGAGGGGTGGAAGATTGAGGCAGCCATTCCCCCTTCCCCACTCGTGAGCCTGCTTGGGGCACATTCCCACTCTTCCTGCCTCCCTCTGGTGGCTTCTGTGTTTCTGACATTCCCCCTGTCTCTGTCTTGGCTCTGGCCCTGGCCCAGGGGCTCACCTCGTCAGGCCCCACGCAGCTCACCTCCCAGATGGCCAGGGTGCTGTTTGCCATAAGGTCCTTCAAGCCTGGCACCCTGACCTGTGCCTGAGTCCTCTCCACCCCTTACCCACCTGAACTCCCGCTGTGGGTCCTCTGCCTTATGTTCCTCAAACGTGTCCTCTCAGACCCTTGGCTTGCAGCAGGAACAGCAGGTGTTAACCAAGCTCCTAATCTATCTAGACTGGCTCAGATGCCCCTTGCAGGAAGCCTTCCCAGACTCCCCCTCCTGCAGAAGAAAACTTCTCCAGCTGGGCTCCCACATCACGTGCCATCGTCCATCCTGGCATGTGTGCTGGGGGTTACAGCAGGGGCTTCTGCAGCCAGGGGCGCCGGCTTCAACATGAATGAATGAGTGAATGAATGAATGAGTGAGCAAATGACAACCTGCCTATTCGAAATGCAGAAACTTTATTGGTGCAACTGAGGGGAAGAACTGAGGATATCAGGGTGGCTGGTGACCTGAATAGGGGTCCCATAGTCAATGAAGTCATAATACAATTCTGTGTCTGTCTCAGACCCCTCCTTTTCCTTCTTCCTTTCCTCGTCGTGCTGTTTCTCCAGCAGCAGGCACACATTCTGCAGGACAGCAGGAGAAGAAAGAACAGTGATGGGGGAGGGTCTCCTGGGGGGAAGGTGGAGTGCGCTCTGGCCTGGGGCTCCAGTCCCCATGGGCCTCTGGGGAGCTCAGCTGTCCCCGCAGTGAGATGGGCACAGAAAAGCAGGCTCTCCTGCCTGGCTGTGCAGCCCTGGCTGGGAGATGGCCCTCTCTGGGCCTCTGGGGCTGCCCAAAACAGGAGCGCCCTCAGGTGGGCACTGCCTAGTCCTCCCTGCCCTCACCTTTTTCTCATCCGTGTACATGACTTCCGACTTGTCCATGCCCATGCACGTGAGGTAGTCATAGAACTGTTGCATTTGCTCTGGGGTCGCCTCTGGCTTGTCAGCTGCAGGAGGAACAAGGGGACAGGTGAGAATATCTGTGTGTGTGTGGTGGGGGGAGTGTGGGGAGGGCAGGGTAGAGGCCAGGGAGGACTGGAGGTCTAGGGGACCAGCCCTAGGAGCAGCTGGTTGGGGGAAGGCTGGTGGGAGTTTGGGGGTGCCTACCAAAGAAGGACAGCCCCATGTTCTGCTTGTCTTCTGGGAAAGTGGCGAGCATGAAGGTCTTGGGGTCCTTGGGGAGCAGCAGGTGGCGAAAATGTTCTCTGCCATTCTCTGGAAGAGAAAGCCTCTGGGTGAGACCATGGAGAGCACAGTGTGTCCCTCCTCACAGGTGAGGAAACCTGGGTGCACATAGGTCCACACAGCCAATCGGTGAGGGCCAAGGGTTCACCTGGGTCACGTGTCCCTCACTCCTACTGGGCGCCAGGCCTTGTGACGAATGGATGTGGAATCAGAGGAGCCTCTGTGAACTGTGTCTGTCAGGGCCTTTCTCCCCATTTTACAGATGAGGACAATGAGGTTCAGAGAGGAGCCTCCGGTTTTGGTTCAATTGAATTGGCATTTGGGTGTTCCTGCTATGGGCCTTCTCTGCAGTGATGGTGGGGACATGGGTGAAGTCACCGCGTGCCCAATAAACAGGCTGCCATGCTTAGGTCCCAGAGGATAAAGCGTGGTTGAGCCCTAGCTGGTTTGGCTAAGTGGATAGAGCATCAGCCCACCGACTGAAGGGTCCAGGGTTCAGTTCTGGCCAAGGGCATGTACCTCGGTTGCAGGCTCAATCCCTGGCGCTGGTGTGGGAGGCAACCAATCAATATGTCTCGCTCACATTGATGTTTCCTTTCTCTCTGTCTCTCCCCCTCCCGTTCACTCTCTAAAAATCAATGGGAAAATATCCTCAGGTGAGGATTTACAAAAAACAAAAAGAGTGGAGGGGAGGCAGGACTGGAACCAACCTCGGGTTGAGTCCAGGTCTAATTGCAGGATGAGTGAGAGAGACAAGGGGGCTCCTGTCTCTCCATTTCCTGAGCTGATCACGGCAATGTCCTCCGTGGGTGGCTTGTGAGTATTAAAGTGGGTTCATTCATAGAAAGCACTTCAAACAGCACCCGGCACACAGTAAGAGCTCAGAGAGGTTGGCAGCTATGACTGATTGCTTCAGTGTGCAGGCAGCAGGCCCATGGAGATGTAAGAAGTGGGCATCTCCCGGGCTCTCTGTGCCCAAAGCCCCAGGTCCCCTCCTTTGGCCTGGCCCACCCACCATCTCCCATCCCACACAGCAACCCTTCCCCTGAGGGCTCACCGGATTTGGACAGGGTCCCATTTTCCCAATGGACCTTCACGCTGCTGGAGTTATAGAGGCACTGGTCCCCGCTAAAGCCAGACAGAACAGGGGAGAAAACAGTAAGATAGTTAAGGAGAAGTGGACTGCCACAATCTTGGAGGGGGAGAGTCAGGTGGCAATTAGCGTCAGCCCCGCCCCCATTCCCTGGATGAGAAGGCTGAGGCCAGGACGGGGGAGGGGCTTGCTCAAGGTGTTTGGGCAGCTGGGAGGAGGAGCCAGAAGCTGGGCTGAGCTGGCATGCTTGGGTCATGTGTGAGTCTTACATGGTCATGTACTGTCTGAGCAGTATTGTGTCCTCCGTGTGGTTGGGGGTGAAGTAAAAGAAGGCTGCATGGATTTTGCTAGCTTCCTTCTTGTACTCGGGGAAGCGGAAAGCTGAGGCGATATAATACCACTTGCCAGAGATCTGAGGAGAAGCCAGGAGCAGGTGATGGAGACTGAGAGCCTAATCCTTGATAGTCACCTGGGAGGAGACTCGGGCAGATCTTTCCACTTTGTAAATCAGGAGACAGAGGCCCGGGGGAGGAGGGGGGCTGCAGCAGCTCAGTCTAGGAATCAGCCTTCACCCCCCTCCATCCCGCACCTCCTTACCCCGCTCCCAACCCCTGCCTCTCAGGCGGCCCCCACCCAGTCAGCTGCCCTGCTGAGGGACTTTGCAAGGCGGCTCTGAGCTTGGAGACAGAGGAAGCCGCTGGAGGCTGCCCTGGTTCTCACCCCAGCGCTTAGGAGAGGCTGACCGCAAGCCCGCAAGGGAAGGGAGTCCAGAGAGGGAGACAGCTCCCATGGTGCCCAGGGCCCAGGCACCCACCTGGTCCAGGGAGGCATTGGTGATGGGCACCGAGAAATTGGGACACGCCGGGCTCTGGGCGTCCAGCAGGGGAAGC